TGACTCTGCTGGTATTTAAAATACCAGTGGCATAGCCTTCAGAATCACAGCAACTCACAAGCCACCACAGTACAACAAACTGACCGACAAGTGGTGGTCGAGTCCATTAGAAAACTGTGAATCAAAAGTACAATGAGGTACCACCTCACCCCTATAAAATGGCAATGATTAATAAAGCACAAAACACATGCTGGCAAGGATGCATGGGGTTTATAATGTTAATACACTGTTAGTTGGGGCTGGAAAATGGCACAGCCACTATGGAAAACAGTACCCCACTTCCTCAAAAAGCTGGAAGAATAAATACCTTATGTTCCAGAAATTCCACTTCTAGGTATACATTCTAGCGGTATAAAAGTAGTTACACGAACAGTACAGAAACAGATGACCCTAGGACCATCAAGGGAGAAGAGCACAAGCAGAATGTGGGACCATATCCAGAGAAGCAGTGACACCACAGATGGAGGCAGAGATAGGGACATGGAGAAAGGGAGCAGCTGAGAACTCTAGACTCATGGAAAGAGAGCAGCTGGGTGCTAGCAGTCAGGAGGCAGGCTTGCACAACGTGCCCTTTGGTTGTTTAAATTATTATATATTCCTGAGTGTTTCTGTGTACATCCCTCTCTCCTCCCCACTCCCCCAAAACAAAAAACAAAAACAGGGAGTGGAAGCAAATACTGTTGAATGATGATGCATAGAGGAAATTGTAATCAATGCAATGAAACGATGCGTTATGCCAGTGTTCTTCCACGTAAACCATCACTCAGTTCACAATAAAATTCTACTTTCCTTTTTTCTAAATTTAAAAAAAAAGTAATGACAAGAATAGACATGTGTACACCTATGTACACATTATCTACTACAGCAACAAGATGGAAACAACGTAAGTGTCCATCAATACATGAATGGATAAACAGACTGTGGCACATATTCACAATGGAATACCACACAATTATAAAGAATAACGAGCAGTCTGCTAAACATCTTAAAACATGGATGAATCTGAAGGACATTATGCTGAGTGAAATAAGTCAATCACAAAAAGGCAAATATTGTATGGGCGCTGCAAGATAATGCACTGGACTGCAAAGGTCAGTTTGAGCCACAAGGTCGGTGGTTCAAACCCACCAGCCACTCCTCAGAAACACTATACAGGGTCACAATGAGTAGGAACTGACTTGACTGCACTTAACAACAAACAATTACTATAAAAAGGCAAGAACAGATGATATATATACATGTAAAGCAAAGTTCGTAGATGGTTAATTAAGATGGACAGCAGAGGGCTGGGGAGTGAGGAAGGGGAATCATTTTCTAGATTGTAGACGCCTATTTTTAGTGATGAGAAAGGCAAGACCAAATACAGATGAAGTCAGCATAATCTGACCAAGGTAGGTAAGGACACTAAGAAGTACATGAGAAAACGGGACAATTACAGTATATGCTATAGCAAATACAATTTTGCAACAGAAGTATAAAACAACCAAAAAACATGTGCACAGTCTCATGGATATATATGGATGTATATGTGGCCTTCTGATGTGGCGCTAGAGGATCAGCACTGGACTTCAAACCACAAGGTTGGCAGTTCAAACCCACCAGCTGCTCCTCAGAAATCCTAAATAAGGATCACTATGAGTCACAAACGACTCGATGGCACCTAACATAACAGATACCCCTATACATGCACATGTATTTACTTGCAATATGTCTTTCTATACACATACATACATCCATATCTATCCATGTAATCACACACATGTTTTGGTTGTTTTTACTCTTGCTGCAAAACTGTATTTGCTATAGCTGTTGTTGTTAAGTGCCACTGAGTTGGTTTAGACTCATAGCAACACTTGTATAGGGTTTCTGAGGAGCAGCTGGTGGGTTTGAACTGCCAACCTTGCAGCTAACAGTCCTGTGCTTATCCTACAACGCCACATCAGGATTCCAGGTGTACCACCAGTGTTAACTGCCATGGAATTGGTATTGATTGACTCATAGCGAGGTGTACCTGTAGACAACTGTATATACATGTTGTTTGTGTTACATACATAATCACATATATAACAAAATATATAAAGAACAGTTACAGAGGCTTACTACACATACAAACAACTCATGGGGCTGTTTTACAGGGTTAAAAAGCATAGTCTCGGGGGACAACCTAGTCAACTGACATAACATAGCTCACAAAGATAATGATCTACATTGATCAATAGCATCTGGGGTCTTAAAAGTCTGCAAAGGCCACTTAAGATACAACTACTGGTCTCTATTCATATGAAGCAAAAGAGAATGAAGGAAATCAAAGGTTCAAAAAAGAAACAAATCCATGGAACCAACAGCCCACAAAAACTGCAGCCTCTTCTAACCTGAGACCAATAGAGTTAAATTGTGCCTGAGAGTCCCGGTGTGGCACTATGGGTTAATGTGCTAGACTACAATGTTGGTTTGATCTTGATGATCAGTGGTTCAAACTAACCAGCTGCTCCTCGGAAACCCTATACATGGTCCCTATGTGTCTGAACTGACTCGACAGCACTTTAACAACAACAGAGCATAACTGGTGTGATGCTGTAGGATAAGCACTTGACTGTTAACCACAATGTTGGCGGTTCAAACCAGCAGCTGCTCATTGGAAACCCTGTAGAGGATCACTATGAGTCAGAATCGACTTGATGACACTTGACAATATAAAACCATTAAAGTAATAAAAATAAGCATGGATAACAATATACTTAAAAACAGAAGTTAGGGGAAACTTTACTGAGATTATTAATCTTCATAAATACACTTGGGTTTTCTTTGTCAGTTAAACTATTTCCTAAAGGCTCAATATATTGCTGCTAAAAAAGCTGGTGAGATAATGAGCTAGATAAACTCCTGTAATCAACTTATTCTTTCTAGCTTCAGGCTTAATGACTCACATCCATATGAAAACACTATACCATCTAGCTCTTCTAAACACAATCATGAAATTGTGGATATGAATGGTCATTTTAAATGCTGCTTGTGAGAGCAAATGCAAAAGCCATGTGGCTTCTCATATTTATCTAACAAAAAATTAATTTTAATGTCTTTCATTTATATCTATATCTATCTATATAAATAAGGAGCTCTGGTAGCATCGGGCTGCGAACCGCTTCAGCGGTTCGAAACTACCAACTGCTCCGCGGGAGAAAGATGAGGCTTTCTACTCCCGTAAAGATTTACACCCTCGGAAACCCTGTACAGGGTCGCTATGGGTCGGAACCAACTCGACGGCACTTAACAACAACATCATCTATATAGATGATATAGATATCTAGTACAAAAACTTTAAAAAAAGAGACGAAATAAACGGGCATTTAATGTCTTTCATTTTGCACTAAACTAAAAGTTTCTCTTTGGAAAGACTTGTTTCTTGAATTAGTTGAATAGTTCGGTTACTTTTCTAACGTGCATGAACCCCTCTGCATGCAATACTTACCAATCTTTTATGAGTGCACAAACATACAAAGCTTTTAAAATAAATTAACCTGAATAAATATAACACACAAAATATTGCACATTCTTTTGTCGCAAAGGCATCATATTAAATGTCAATCACATCAGGCAACAAAACCTGTATAAGGGTTTTTTGTTGTTGTTCCCCTCCTTGCATTTCTGTAAATCTTAGTCGGACTTAGTTCTTAATCTAGTCTCTGAGGAAGGGATATTTTAAACATAAGAGGACAACACTATGCTGAATGCTTCAGTCACCCGACATTATTCCCTACCATAGTGCCTAATTTGTTAGGCTTTTAGTCTCTTATCTGTGTTTTTTTTTTTTTTAAGAGGGGGATGGAACTAAGTAACGGTTAAAAAGGGGAAAGCGAGGACAGACATGGTAAGCGATCCAAGAAGAGCTGAGAAGTCATTATTTACTAAACGGAGATTAATGGGCCTTCATCTGAAGGTGGGCTCTCGTTATTTTTTTACAAGTCAACTAGATGACGGCAGAGAAAGAAAAGTTTACAACGCCCTGGTTCACAGTAATAAAACAAAAACTCTTTCGAAAAAACTCCGCTGAGGCGTTCAAAGCTTTTCTGACAATGTAGCGACCCGAGAGATCTCTGCTACTCGGATCTATTCAAAGTGCACAAGATCCCCAAATCTTAGAGAATCAATCTGGCACCCCAAATCCTAAAGGGCGGGGCACGGGCTTGCCTCCCCCGTGAACGAAGTGGCGGACCCAACCCCGCCAGCCCCCTTCCCCCAGAGAGGCAGCGCTCCCCGCCGCGCCCCAGATGCTGGTTGTGGCCCGCATCAGAGCACCCTGGGATATAACATAAAAAGCCCGCAGGCCCCGAGGGCTGGGTGGGCTGGGGCGCTGAGCTTCTCCCAGTTACGCGGTCTGGTCCCAAAGCCTACTGGATCAACGGCAGTAACTACGCCCGACTCCTCCACCCTCGGCAGTAGCGGCCTCCCGAGGGGCCCCACCCTGCAGGGATGTCCCGCTCCCGCTCACCGGCTCCGGTGGTGTCCGTCAGGTCGTGGTTGGCCGCTCCTCGGGGAAACTCCCTCAGTTTCCGGCCGCTCAGGTTCAACACCCCAGTTACCGCCGCCTCTTCCAGGGCTCGATCGAGGGAACGGCTCCATGAACCTGGGCCTGGACCAGGGCACACCCCAGAGCTTGGGCCGCAGTTAATGCTGGAGAAGTTACCTCCTGACGCTACTGGGCCAGAGCACTCGGCGGCGGGGGACACAGCGACCAAGCCTGCAGCCGCCATTTCCTAACCTACAACTCTCCGGCCCACCGCTCCGCGCATGCGTGACCAGAACTGATGGGTGGGCGGGGATAGGGGCGCACAAACCCGGCAAGGTTCCCGAGTTGGTCTAGGGTGTGGTGACCCTCTCACATTCAGGCGGTTATTTGTGTACCACATCAAGGTTTTCAAGAGAACTTGAAACGGAACTCACAAATCTGGAGCAGACCCTCATTTTAGGCTCCCATTAATCGTTCTAAATTGCTCCAACATACTTTAAAAAAGGCAACACTCTTCATCAAAACTTCGCAGTGTTAGCAGTCTTTACACCGGTGCAGCCAGAAACTTGGCAGTGGGAAGGTGAGATCAGAGCACCCTGGGATATAACATAAAAAGCTTCCCTACTTTTCTCTCTTTATAGCCAGGTGATCTAAATCAAGATTTGTGGAGTTATTCATTAAAATTGCCTGAGGCCACAACTCTTGTTGCTTGCATGTTGCTGGGATGCTGGAAGCCCTGCCTCCAGTATTTTAAATACCAGCAGGGTCAGCCATGGTGAAAAGTTTCAACAGAGCTTCCAGACTAGGAGGGACAGGCAGCCCACTTCTGGTTAGAAGGAAAACCTTATAAATAACTGAATGATGACCCCTGTTGATGAGCTGCTCAGACTGGAAAGCACTCAAAATACAACTGGGGAACAGTTTCCTCCTCAAAGTAGAGCTTTCTGGACCTTCATTTTCATTTGCTGATGGGGCACAACTCAAAATGAGAAGAAACCGCTTGTAAATATCTATTAATATTCAGAACATAGACGGTATGAAGTATGATGCTGCTTCTGTTCCACTCACAGCATCTTCACTGGAGGATCAAACTTAGTCTTTCTCTCACAGAGCTGATAGTGGATTCAAACTGCTGTTTTTTTCTGTAAGCAGCCAGATGCTAACCACTACATTACCAGAGCTCCTCGTTTGAAGTCTTTGTTGTTGTTATAATGAGCCGTCGTTCTGACTCTGACTCATAGCAATCCCGTATAGTACAGGGTTTCTGAGCAGTGGCTGGTGAGTTTGAAACACCGACCTGGCAGTTCAAACCAACCTTGTAGTCTAGTGCTTATCTTACCATGCCACATGAGGACATCATCAATAATGAACTGGAACACATAAAGATAGATATCCTAGACGTTGTTATTGAGTGCAATCCAATGCATTAACACACCAGGATTCTATTATAGACACAAGTGAGCTGAAATGGACAGGTATTGGTAATTCTGAATCAGGCAATTACATGATTTATGCAGGGAACTACAAATTGGGATCTTAAAACTCATGGGTGGCCATTTAGGGTGTAACTATTGGTCTCTCCATGTGTGAAAGAAAGAAGAGTGATGAAAATTGAAGAAGCTTAGAATCAAGTAGTCCAACAGATCAACGGATCACATGAACATTAGTTAGTGCCTGGCTACCACTACCAACTGCTGATAGGGATGACATCAGAGGGTCCCAGAACAAGTGGGAGAAAATGTGGAACAAAACTGAAAATTGTTTTTTAAATTCCAGGCTTACTGGTTACAGAGAGACTAGTGGAACCTGAGACAGTAACCCTCAATCACAGTTCAGGTCTGGAAACGGACTCAGCCAACCAGTTGTTGTTGTT